CTTAGGTAAGTCCCTTTAACATTTCATATAAAAAGGGCTTGGTGATGATGAACTCCTTAAACTTGACCTTATCTTATCTGGGAAGCACTTTATCTGTCCTTCCATTCTAAATGAAAGCTTTGCTGGATAGGGTAATCTTGGGTGTAGGTCCTTGTCTCTCATGACTTTGAATACTTCTTTCCAGCTCCTTCTTGCCTGCAAGGTTTGATAGCATTATGGGAACTCCTTTTGTAGGTAACCGTCTTCTTTTCTCTTGCTGCTTTTAAGATTCTCTTTATCTTTAATCTTGGCCAATGGAATTATAATGTGTCTTGGTATGTTCCTCTTTGGATCCAACTTCTTTGGGACTCTCTGAAAGTCCTGGACTTCCTGGAAGTCTATTTTCTTTGCCAGATTGGGAAAGTTTTCTTTCATTATTCTTTCAAATAAGTTTTCAATTTCTTTCTCTTCCTCTTCTCCTTTTGGCACCCCTATGATTCGGATATTGGAATGTTTAAAGTTGTCCCAAAGATTCCTAAGCCCCTCCTCATTTTCTTGATTTCTTGTTTCTTCATTCTGTTCTGGTCGAATGTTAATTTCTTCCTCTTCTCCAAATCATTGATTTGAGTTTCCTTTCCTTCACTGTTGGTTCCCTGTACGTTTTGATTTATTTCACTTTTTATAGCCTTCACTTCTTCCTTTATTTTGCAGCTATACTCAATTATATCTCTGAGCATCCTGATTACCAGTGTTTTGAACTCTGCATTTGATAGGTTAGCTAACTCCTCATCACTTAGTTGTTTTTCTGGAGTTTACACCTGTTCTTTCATTTGGGCCATATCTCTTTGTCTCAGTGCGCCTGTTCTGTTGTAAGGGGTGGAGCCTTAGGTATTTCCCAGGGTGGGAAACCCACTTCTCAGTATTGTGGTGCTGTCTGTATGTGGGGGAGGGGTCAGAGAAGGAACAATGCTGCTTGCTCAGCTCTCACCCCCTTTCAGTCACTTGCCCCACTACCCACAAGTGAATTGTGCCCTTTGAGGTGCTGCTCTGTTGCGGATTCCTGGGTAGGTGGGCTAGTGTACGTTTTAGGGTCCCATGGGCTCCTCCAAGGGACTCTCTTGTGAAACAGGCAGTTTCTCCCACTGCTGGAATCCCCACAGGATTTTACAGCCAGAGGTTCTGAGGCTTTATTTTGCCTGCACTGGAACTCTGGGTTGCACAGTCTGTCTCACTTCTCAGTTGTTCCTCCTGGTTTATTTGCATGTGAATGTGGGACTGCCAGGTCCACCAGCTGCCACCTGGCCATGCATCCTCTTCACCTGGGCTGCTCATCTCTGCCCCTCCTACCAGTCTGGATGAATGTTTCTTCTTTAACTCGTTGGTTGTTGGGCTTCCATACAGTTTGATTTTCTGGCAGTTTGGGTTGTTTTTTTTTTTTGTTACCAAATTGGTTGTTACCCTTCTTTTGGTTGTGCAAGGAAGCTGAATGTATCTATCTATGCCTCCATCTTGGCAAGAAGCCTCCCAAAATAGGCATTTGGTGCTTTGTATTTACTCCTCTTTTTCTATACTCTTTTTTTCCTCTCCCTGCCTGGATTTAATAGACTTCCTTTATTGCATTTCCCTGCTCAATTGATTTGAAAGTTATATACGCTATGTGTTATTCCTATTATTCTAAACTCAAATTCTAGACTTACCAACTGCTAAATGTTTTCCAGTTCTGCTCCCCATCTGTTCTCCCCTTCTCTCTCATATAAATTGAACTTCCAACTTAGCAGAGCACATGGTTATCCAGAATAAAAACTCTGCTTTCCAATCTTCCCTGCAGCTGGGTAACCAAATTTTTGCCAGTGTTATACGAACAGAAGAAATGAATGCAACCTCCTGCTCACACACTTAGAAGCAAGAGTTGAGTGGACATTAGGATGAAGCATCTTCAGACACGCAGCAGGTATTGCTCTAGAGTCAGACTGTTTATGCCTGAGGTACTACATGAGAAGAAAGTAAGCCTCTGTCTAATACAAGCCATTGTTATTTTGGGTTCTTTCTTTTTCTTATTCACTTTTTCTTCTTTTTTTAATAAATTAATTCTAGAGAGAGGGGAAGGGAGAGTCAAAGAGAGAGAAACATTGACTGATCGATTGTCTCTTGCACACACCAGACAGGGGACCAAACGTGAAACCCAGGTGCATGCGCCCTGGCTACAAATCAAACCCATGACCTTTCGGTTTGCAGGCTGGTCTTCAATCCACTGAGCCACACCAGCCAGGACTGTCTTCAATGGTTTTAAACTCATTTATTTTATAGTATCGTCCCAATGGTTCTATTCTGACTAGACCCCCACAGTTGTTGTATATTTGGACTCTCACCCGGTGTGGATTATTTTCTCAGTTTTTAGTCAGTTTGGATCATATATTCACCTTCCTTAAGGCTTTTTTCCTTGTGAGGATTCTGTAGAATCCGAGTTGAGGTCTGTTTCTCCAGAGAGGTTCTGTGCCTGTTCCAGCAAGAACTGCCAAGGTTATGTCTGGCCTAGAACTTAGGGTTCCTAATTCATACAGTAGAAATTCTAATGTTACATCAACGTCACCATCAGGTCTTCAGGGTACATTTTTCTTTCTTTCGTTCTTTTTTTTTTCCTGCCCAGAGCCTGGCTCAGTACGAGAAGCTGTTCTGTCATCTCCCTTGTGCTGGTGGATGATTCTCTTTTCTTTGTCTACCTTCATTTAGGGCAAGGCCCTTAACAGTCCTGATGTCACACGGAAGTTTCAGTATCAGGCCCAGCCTCCAAATGGCCAGACCTCGCTTCTCCCTCCACAGACATTCAAACTCAAACCTCAGACCTTTCATCACTGAAGGGAGGCCGGCCACACTCCCCATCCCACTCAGCTGCTAGAGTCGAGTACCACTTGGGTTCTTCCTCTTTATTTTGGCCTCTGAGGATCTCCCCTTTTTCCCCCCAGTATGCAGCTCTAAACTGAGAAGGATATTTTAAATATTTAATCCAGTGTGTCTAGGTGTTTGACAGTGGTCATTTTTTGAGGTTGTTTCGTTGTCCATGTTTCTAGAAATGGAAGTCCCTTCCCTCTGAGATGTGTTCAGACTAGCTGGCTGCTCCCTACTCATCCTTACCTTCCCTCACACACCTTCCCCAATACCATCACCTACAGCAAGGTTCTCAAGTTTCATAGTGTATGAAATCCATTTCTGGGAGCTTGTTAAACATGCAGATTATGAGCAGCACCCCAGGAGACTTGAATCGGGAGGGTTGGGGGGCAGGAATGCACATGCTGAACAAGCACTCTGGGTTTCTGGCACAGGGGATCCCGGGACCACTGTTTGAGAAGCACTATCGAAAGCCCGCTTCCCTGTCCCCGAGGTGGTAGAATTCTACCCTTTCTATTTGCAGGGCCTGAACCACAAATGTAGGAACCCTGCCAATCTGTTCTGCAAAGCCTGAATGAGATGGCGATGCCAACAGACCCAAGGTTCACGAGTTCTAGTCCAGGCTAGTTCAGGGCCCCTCCCCTCAGCAGTGGAAATGCAAAGGCAATGCCAATAACTTGTCTTCCTGGACTCCGGGCTTGGGCCTATCACTGAAGCAGGTCGTTTATTCAGGCTTTACTAATCAAGACTTCGACATTACTGGGAGGAAGTGGCCTGAGTTTTACCTTTCTGCTATAAAAGAAGGGTTTGCTAAGCAGACGGATGCTATAAACAAAACTATACAGAGAATACAGAGAATGGTTGACTCAATTAACATTTTTTAATATATATATATATATATATATATAGAGAGAGAGAGAGAGCACTTAAGTGCAGGTCTCTACTCTCTAGATGAGTTATGTTTCAAAACACCACCGAAAGCCATTTGGAAGCTATCTTCCTACAGAAACATTATGAGTGGTGGTCACTTCCCAGACTGTAAGATAATAATTGTTCCCATTTAAGGCCTATTCTATGCCAGAACGTTTGTATATGTCACCTGATACAATTCTCAAAACAACTCCAAAAGGTAGACATTTGTGTCCCTACCCTAGAGGTGAACGGACTTGCTCAGAGTCACAGAGGTAATAAGTGGTACAGCCAGGTACGTCTGGCTCCACAGCCTGTGTCCTTGTCACCAGGAAACCAGGCTGCCTTCCGTGGCTCCTATGCTTAATAGAGGGTGAACGGTGGGGTGGACATTTCAGTCTTCTCTCCTCAAACACCCCTCCCCCACACAGAAGAGATGTTGATGGACTATCAGAGCCTCTGCCGCAGCCACACGTGGTGCAGGAAGTGACAGAGGACTGAGAAGGTTTGTGTCATTCCTTTGGTGTGCAAAGAAGCAGAGCAGGGGGGAATGCCAGATGACAACGGCTTAATAAACTGCTTCGATTTTGGTCTTAAACAAAAACTTCCTTGGGTGGGTTTCATTTTGCATGTGTGCAAAGCATCTTATTAAAATTCCACCTATCATAACGAGTAGTAAGTACGCCCTAAGGATCAAACATGCAGTATAGTGAATATGGAAAATGTAATCATTCCAACCACTGAAAAGAAATGACAGCCCTGGTCAGTGTGGCTCAAAGGGCTTGAGCACCGGCCTGTGAACCAAAAGGTCACAGGCTTGACCCCCCAGTCAAGGCACATGCCTGGGTTGTGGGCCAGGTCCCCAGTTGGGGGTGTGTGAGAGGCAACCGATTAATGTATCTCTCACACATTGAGTTTCTCTCTCTCCCTCTCTCTCTAAAAAATAAATAAATAAAATATTTAAAAATTATAATACTAACACGATAGAGCTAATTATCACTATGATGGCAACCATATTACAATGTATAAACATATCATATTAACATGTTGAACACCTTAAATTTCACAAAGCTATGTGTTAAATATATTCCCATTAAAATGCATAAATAAAACAACAACAAAAGAAAGTTCACCTTCCCTAACTCTTCCTCTCTACCTCTGGCCCTGTCTGACACAGACTTCTACAGTGAGGTCAGGCAGCCAGCCACCTGCTCTCCAGAACTCACCTTGTCAGCAAGCAGCTCCCTTATCTTGCCGGCCTGTAGGCGGAACCGGAAAAGCTGGGTTTCCAGGGCCACGCAGCGTGTCTGCCAGTCCATGCTGGTCCGTGTCTCCACCTTGAGCTCAGCCATGATGGAATCAACTTCTGGATATTCCAGGGAGCCCTGAGAACCAGCACACAAAGAGAGAGGGGAAGATAAATAAGCATGGGAGGAAGAGTTGTTATGTTGGGAAAGGAGGAGAGGAGACCAAAGGGGGCCAGAGAACACAGGGCAGGGGGAGGTGAACTAGTCTGTCCTATGGCCCCGTCTTAGCTCAGTGTGTCTCATTCTATCTCAGGTTAGCTGAGCAACCGCGGGGATCACAAAACCTGAGAAACCCAACAAGAATCTAGTCTCATTTATTTTTTTATCCTCACTCGAGGACATGCTTACTGATTTTAGAGAGAGGGTAAGGGAGGGAGATGAAGAAGGAGAGAAACACTGATGTGAGAAACATCGACTGGTTGCCTGTTGTATGTGCCCGAATGGGAACCTAACCTGCCCCTCAGGCATGTGCCCTGACCAGGAATCAAACTGGCGACCTTTCAGTTTACAGGATGATGCTCAACCAACTGAGCCACACTGGCCAGGCAGGGCTCATTTATTTTTCATTCAATAATTCCATTTAACAAATTTTTATCCATTCAATGAACATTTATGTGCCAGACACTGTTCTAAGCACTGGAGATGCAAAGATAAATGACAGAGGTCCCTTGTCTCTGAGTTTCTCAAGGAAGTCTGATTGCAAAATTACAATGCAGTCACAATAGCTAATCAATGTACAGATCAATAGAAGCAGGGCAATGGGGCAGCCTGTGGAGAAAGCCACAAACCTTTGGAAAACACTTCATAGAAACTCAGAACAAATCAAATAGACACCTATAATTTCTCCAGCCAGGGGCATTTACCCAGACTCTCCTGGACATATTCTAGAGAAGAAGAAGAAGAAGAAAGCTGTGTGTGCACGAGAGAACAGATACAGGCGCTGACGAGCACAGAGGAGGGGAGGGCTGGAAGGCACAGCCACCCACGGGACTTTAATCCCTCCCCCACCCCCCAGGCTGCTACTAGTACTTATGTTTGGCAACAAGCAAAAAGTTGGTCTGTCCCAAACCATGACATACGATCACCCTAGTATCAGGTAATTTTAAAGAACAATCGTCCTTTTTTTAAGGTTGATATTTTTTAAATGTCATCTGTTAGGGATACACATGATTTACAGGTAAAATGATAAAATGTCTGTGATTTGCTTCATGGTAGAGGGTGAGGAGTGGAGGGGAGGGAGATACATCAACTAAGATTTGTCCAAATGTTAATTTTTGAAGCCGGATAAGGGGTGCATGGGGGCTCTTTATACTGGTCTCTTGACATGAATGTAACCCTGGAACTTCCTGTAATGCACATTTGCTCTTTTTCACATCCCCAGGAGCCATGTGGCCTCAGAAAACCCAGCCACCGCCTGCACTGCGGCCGCCGATTGCGCAGGTGCGCCAGGGAACCTGTCTTCCACGGGTTAACCACCAATGATGTTTCTCAGCTCACACTGGACTTTTACGAGTATCTTTCTCCCATTCCATACCACAAACAGCAATCATTTAGAGTTCTTGCTGTATTCCAGGCACGTGTGGCCTCTTTAATCCTCATCATCCATGAGTTAAGGGGTGGGCAGCAGTCCACTGTCTCACGTGAGGACACGGAGGAACTGAGAGACTGGCTGGCTTACACAGAGTCCCACACCATGACTGCCATTCCAATGTCCCTGTTCCTAGCCACAGTGCTCTTTACCCATCCAGAAACTGGAAGGAATTCTGATTTCACAAAGACTGAGGTAGATTGTTAGGAGTGAAAGAAACGTTTTATAAGATCTTTCAGGATCGTGGGCACTAAGATGAGCCTATATTCCAGGCTCATCTAAGTTGAGACCAGGTCAGGGTACTCTGGTCTCAACTCTGCTGACCCCATAAACTCCATAAGCACAGACATTTACCACATGTCCTGACTTTTCATGTAAAAAACAGGGTCAACAGACCTGCAGGGAAAAGCCCAACAATTAAACCACTGATGGGTCTGGTGTCTTAAGTCTTTGGGTTCTGGGCTACTCAGAACACTGGACCCATGACCTCAGCCCTGCTCTCCCGGAACTGCCACCGCAAACAATCCCGACATTGTGACCTCCCAGCAATCCCCACCTCAAAGGACAGGGACCGACAGGAACGGCGGGAAGACAAAAGACAAAAGCAAAACATGACCTCCACTGAGCTAAGACCACAGCTGACAAGACAAAACAAAACCTTGTGGGGGGCCCCCAGAGAAGGCTCCGGGGCCTTGCATCTGATTTGCTCTGTTCCTTAAGGGGCTTTTGCTTTTCTGCAGATCCTTTTTTAAAAAGTGGTATATTTAAAACTAGGATCTGAAAGTCTTGCACCTAGCCGGGAGCTAAGAATCAACACTGAAAGCATCCAAGTGAAAAAACAAGGGGCAGGGGAAACAATTGTTTGTGGTGTTGAGTTTGGTGGATTTTAATGCTCTCTTATTGATTGTCGAAGCTGTGGCTCAGATTCCCTGGGGAGTGGAAATCCAAAGTATCAAAATCTCCAGGGCCTTTGGAAATAAAATGCGTCATTGGCCTCTGCCTGGCCCTGACATCTAGGATTATACCTAGATTGAAAGGAGTGCTTCCCCCATCAAGCGTCTTCATGACATCATGGTGTTTTGAACCAGTCAGGTGCCTGCTAATCCTCTCCCTGCTCTTCGGGATGCTGGCCAGAGGGCTGGCATCACGCTAGGCTTGTCTCCACATGCGGAGAGCTAAAAAGTTTTGAAACAGATCTGGAGCCAGGTGCCTGCTGCCAAGCACAAGGCCCACTCAGAGGCCCTTTCAACAGAAGCAGGTGGTCAGAGAAGCAGCTATAAAACCCGAGATACAAAGGGAAGATACCAGTAAGTTGAATCTCACCTGCTACATCACCTTGCACTTGTACCTCCCATGAAGATGCACAGAGGAGCAGAAATAAACTTACAGAATGGTTCTTAGCTTTTCACGGCATTGCCACAAGCATTACTTGTTTCCTTATCCTCGCAGTATCCCCATGATGCAGGTCAGTGAGCAGATGAGAAAACTCATCACATCTGTGACTTGCTTAGAGACAGAGCTAAGTAGTGTCAGTGCTGGGCCAAGAATCCTGATTCCCCAACAGAGAGAACATCCTCTTTCTGTGAAGATGCTTCCCCAGTGGTGGCAGAGTCTCAGGCCACCAGGCCGGTTTAACACAGATACAACATTAATGGCAAAAACGGATGGGAAAAATGTGAGAAGGGACATAAGCTGGAGACAAAAACAAGCTCAATTTTTTTCTTTTCCCCCCCATAATTAGGGAGAACAATACAATAAATCCCCATGCACCTACCCTCCCTCCAGCTACAATTATCATCAACTCATGGCCACTCTTGTGAAACCTAGTTCTCTTGATTCCCACTAGTGCCCAGCATGCTGAACTGCTTAGCAGCGCGACCCAATGACTGCCATGGGCTTCGCACCAGCTCCGGAACGCACCGAGTTCCCTAGGGTCCTGGACCGACGCCTCGCAGGGGTCTGCGGAGGTGTGCCTCCGAGCAAGGGGCTTCGGGTAGGATGGGTGTAGTTAGGTGACTTCAGACTCAGGGCCGCGTCAGAGAAAACACAAACGTGGCCTGGGAGGCCTCTGGTAAATTGAGGAGTTTGACCAGAAATTGACAAAATGCTGAGATTAAGTTTAATTCAACCAACTTTTGTTAAGTGATTCCTATGTCCAATATTGGGCACATAAAGATGAATAAAGACTGGTGGCTCACAAGGCCCGGCTCTCCGGTCTGAATATCCTTGAACTTCTCTGCAAAGGTAGCCAATCAATACAAGAGCCTAAAAGAAAGAGGCCAGAGGTCGCTGCAGGGGGCATCAGAGGGTAATGGGCGATCCGTTCTGGGTACAGTTTCCACTGGGCTCTCTTGCGTCACCTCACTACGGTTCACTCCCTGAGTGTGAGCTCCTCCTGCGATGTTGGCTTGCAGGTGATGGGCTACCACCATCTTCTGAAAGTGCTCCGCTCAGCGAGCCCGACCACCTGCCCAGCGCTGGGCAAGGAAGAGCTCCGTGCCCCGTCTCTGAGGATGGACTGTGGGAGGGTGAGTGGACACAGAGCACAGCTCCCTCTGAGCTGGCCTCATCATCTGATCAAGCCAACCACACGCATGTGACCTGTGTGCCGAGCATCCCATTTTGCAGCATTGGGGGAGAACAGGAAAAGGTAAGTTCCAGCCTCCCAGGATCTACATACCAAAAGAAGGGGCTCAGACGACCAGAAGTAGCATCCCTAAGAACAAACCAGCAAAGAGAAACAGCGGAGTACAGCGACGAAGGTCCCGCACTCAGGCGCCACACAGGCCTGGCTTGGAATATTGGCTCAGGCACTAATTAATCCTGTGACCTTAAATTATTTGCTCAACTTCTGCGAGCCTCAGTTCCAGTTTGAAATTGAGGGCAATAACATTAATCTGAACCATACAAAACTGGTAATTTTGTAGACGATGCTATGCGGGGTTTTTTGTGGTGTTTTTTTTTGGGATATTACAAAAGCCTGGCATGCAGTAAGCATTCAATAAATGACAGCTGCCATCAATAAACGCAGGCAAACCAGTGGTGCCCTGGGCAGATGAGGAGATGTAGCCTCTAGATGTGCTTACCACCTGATCCACCTTGGAGAGAAGGTCAGGGGGGCTTTAAAAATGACTTTACCTCTCAATCTTTGAAAGGTGAAGAAAAAGGTAAACAAAGCAGAGTAAGGATTCTTCTTACCCCCGAAGTTCATCCATAGTTCTACTCAGAAAGCCATTGTTACAGGTTTCTATGTCTTTCAGAGATATCAGGAGACCACTGGCATGGAGGTTTGTGTCTTTCAGAGATGTTCAGTGTACAGACAGTCACTCACTCATATATATGTTGCACACACACACAGATGGTGGCACACTAAACACACCGTACTTAATATAACTTAGAGATCATCCTGTAGCAATACACATACCTACCCCATTTCCCTCCATGCTTTTTAACATCTCTATTGAAATCTATTATGTGCTGTATAACAATGTTTGGTCAATGATGAAATGCATATGCAACGGTTCCCAAAAGACAATGGAGCTGAAAAACTCTTATCTCCTACAAAAGTCACAGCTGACGTAATCTCATAGCACGACGCATGCCTCACATATTTGTGGTGATGCCAGTTGTAGAGACATACAGCACATATTACATGCAGTACATATTTTTAAAATATATTTTATTGATTATGCTATTACAGTTGTCCCATCCCCCCCTTTATTCCCACCTGTTCTGCACCGTCCCCCCACCCACATTCACCCCACTTAGTTCATGTCCATGGGTTGTACATGTACGTTCTTTGGATTCTCCACTTCCTGGACTATTCTTAACTTCCCCCTGTCTATTTTGTACCTACCATTTATGCTTCTTATTCTCTGTACCTTTTCCCTAATTCTCCCTGCTCCCCTTCCTGCTGATAACCCTCCATGTGATCTCCATTTCTGTGATTCTATTCCCATTCTAGTTGTTTGCTGAGTTTGTTTGTGTTTTTTTTTTAGGTTCAGTTGTTGATAGTTGTGAGTTTGATGTCATTTTACTGTTCATAGTTTTGATCCTTTTTTTTTTCTTAGGTAAGTCCCTTTAACATTTCATATAATAAGGGCTTGGTAATGATGAACTCCTTGAACTTGACCTTATCTGGGAAACACTTTTATCTGTCCTTCCATTCTAAATGATAGCTTTTCTGGATAGGGTAATCTTGAATGTAGATCCTTGTCTTTCATGACTTTGAATACTTCTTTCCAGCCCCTTCTCTCCTACAAGGTTTCTTTAGAGAAATTGGGTGATCGTCTTATGGGAACTCCTTTATAGGTAACTGTCTCCTTTTCTCTCGCTGCTTTTACAATTCTCTCCTTATCTTTAATCTTGGGTAATATAATGATGATATACCTTGTTGTGTACTACCTTGGGTCCAACTTCTTTGGGACTGAGTTTCCTGGACTTCCAGAAGGTCTCTTTTCTTTTCCAGGTGAAAGTTCTCCATTATTTTTTCAAATAAGTTTTCAATTTTTTGCTCTTCCTTTTCTCCTTCTGGCACTCCTATGATTCTGATGTTAAAGTGTTTAAAGTTGTCCCAGAGGTTCCTACATTCTCCTTATTTTTATGAATTCTTGTTTCTTCACTCTGTTCTGGTTGAATGTTTATTTCTTCCTTCTGGTCCAAATCGTTGATTTGAGTCCTGATTTCCTTCCAGTCACTGTTGGTTCCCTGTACATTTTCCTTTATTTCACTTTTTGTAGCCTTCACTTTTTCCTCCATTTTGCAACTATACTCAACCATTTCTGTGAGCATCCTGGTTACCAGTGTTTGAACTCTGCATCTGATAGGTTGGCTATCTCTTTGTCACTTAGTTGTATTTTTGGAGTTTTGATCTGTTCCTTCATTTGGGCCATCTTTCTTTGTCTCAGAACAGCTGTTACGTAGTAATGGGCAGAGCCTTAGGTATTCACCAGGGTGGGGCAACACACTTGGCTGCATTGTGGTTGTAGTGCTGTGGGGGAGGGGTCCGAGAGGGAACAATGCTGCTTGCTCGGCTCTCTGCCAACTTTCAGTCACTTCCTCCACTACCCACAAGCAAATTCTGGTGCTGATTCCTGGGTGGGTGGGTTTGTGTACCCTCTAGGATGCTGTGGGTCTCTCCAAAGAATTCTCCTGTGACGCTGGGAGTTTCTCCTGCCACCTCAACCCCCACAGGTTTTTCCAGTCAGAGGCTTTGAGGTTTTATTTCCCCTCACGAAGCCCTGGGTGGCACAGTCTATCTCCCTCCCTAGTCGTTCCTCCTAGTTTATCTGCATGCAAATGTGGGATCCCTGGCCCTTCAGCTGCCACCTTGCCTCCAGTTCTCTCTGCCCGACTGCCTGTCTCCGCCCCACCTTTTGGTCTGGGTGAATGTTTCTTCTTTAATTCCTTGGTTGTTTGACTTCCATACAGTTCAATTTTCTGTCAGTTCTGGTGATTTAAAAAAATTTTGTTGTTGTCCTTCTTATTGTTGTGTGAAGAGGCACAGTGTGTCTACCTCCACCTCCATCTTGGCCAGAAATCTAAATAGGTATAAATTTGATTCCAGTACATAATACTTGATAACAAAAAACAACCATGCTGCTTGTTCATTTATTTACTATAGAATACTTTTTATTGTTATGTTGGATGGTACTCTTTCTACTTACTAAAAAAAAAAATCTATCGATTGCATCATTCTGTTTTCGGTTTGATTTAATCTCTCTCTCTTTTTTTTTACAGTAACATGCTGTACAGGTTTGTCTCTAGGAACAATGGGCTGCATTACACAGCCTACTGTGTAGTAGGCTTACCACCTGGATTCGTGTAAGTGCACTCCCTGATGTCTGCACATGATGGCATCACCGAACGATGCATTTATCACAGTGTAACCCCCTCCTTACATGGTGGGTGACTGTATCTAAGGGTCCCTTATTGACAGACATTTGGGTTGTTTGAAACCCTTTGCTAAAATAAACAACGTGACAATGAATATTCAATGAGTACACATCACTTCATACACATTGGAATATATCTGAAGAATAAAGTCCTAGAAATGGAATTCTAGGATTAAGTGACAGACATTTTTAAATGGCTGAATAATCTAAATTGCCCTCCCTTGTGGCTGTTCTAATTCATACTCCAGCCAGGAAAAAGGGCCTGTTTCCCTGGGGAGAAGGGCAGTTTTGCATTAGTTTTCTACAGAAGGGAGAGACTGCTCTGCAGGATGGTGGCTCAGCAGTCGGCCTTCTGTGAAGTACCTGGATCAGGAGTGAGGGAATCCTGGCACCTCACCGTCAGCATGCACAAAGCACTGTGCAACCCAGAAGGAGCACAGATTCCGCACAGATAGCACTCAGCCTCCTAGAGAGAAGGGACTAGTAAGGAGGGGTGCAGGGGGAGGAGAGAGGTAGCTGGGAGGTACAGACTTATTCCTCTCAGCTCATGATTTCGAAGAGGGCAGACAGGGCACCAGAGGTTTCCAGCTGTTAGTTTCAATGAGTTGGGGAGCACAAGATATACCCCACCCTAACTGAGCTCTGAGCAAACCCTCTCAGTAGCCTACCACGGAGGGAGGGTGACTGGACAGTGGACCAAATCCTCAGGAATTTAAGAGGGTTGGATGTGTCTGGCCTCTTCCACTTTTTAGCTATATGAACTTGAGCAGATCACATTTTTTTCTGGGTCTGTTTCCTCTTGTAACAGGGAGATAATTATATGCAGAAATACTGGAATTAATGTTTTATAAAGTGTTAAGCGATGTTACTATATACGGTGTCTGGAGCATATCAGCCCAAAAAGTCTTATGAAGGAACCAATGACTTTTCCATTGGAACTGTTACTAAAATGACGTTTCACGCCTAAGTTTTAGCTGGAACTAAGGCTCCGTCTGGAAGCGTTTTATGCGGCGGATTCATAGTGGAAGTTTATGGAGACGTCCCAACACAGAGAAATCAACGGGGAGCGGATTCTGCTCTCTGATGAGCGTCTTGACTGCCTCTGCCATCCCCCGATTAAGGCCCCCAGGTCCCTAGTGACCGATTCTTCTCTGAGGCTTCTAGAATACAAAGCTCCCGGTGTTATTCGGCGCCCAACTTTTCTTTTCTGCACGACTGACCTGCCTCTAGTAGTCGAGCCTGAACCCATTAGAAGCCCTAAGAGAACCACCGAGAAATCATAGAAGAGAGAAATCTAAGATAAGGTGGGTAGGACAGAGGGAAGAAGGAAACCGAGTGAGAGCACAGGCAACGCGGTGGAAAGCCTGCAAGTCCGCTCCGAGGGTCCTTCCCGCGGGCAACTGGATCCAGCTGGTCCCAAACTCCCCGTGTTCCCTAGAAAGTCTACTCTTCGCTTCCCGGTGTGGCGGGTACCCGAGCCCGACCCGCGCGCGCGGCTCCCAGCGCTCGCAGCTTCTCGGTTCCAGGCGGGGAGGCACCTGCTCCGGAATCGCCCTGCGGCTACAGGTGGCCGGTCCTCTCTGCCCAAACACCTTCCGGGCCAGTGCACACCCCTAGCCCATCTCTGCCCAAGGGGCGCACGGTGCCACTCACCTCTAGCGAGCTCGCGGGAGTCCCAGCCGCACACCCGGCACACGGGGCGGGCACACGGACGCCCTCCGCGCGCGTCCGCCGCTGACCTTGCCTCGATCCCGTCTGAGTCCACCGCAGCCGCCGGGTCTCCGTTTCCCGACAGCAGGGGTCGGGATGGGCGGGGCGGGGAGAGGCTTGGGCCCGGAGTGGTGCCCGCAGGCAGGCGGTACAAAGGCGAGGCCAGCCGCACCTCCCTGCGCCCCATTCAACGCTCCGCTGCGCTCCCTCCCTCCGCCCCGCCCCACTCCCCGCCCGCTCCCCGCCCGCTCCTTAAAGGCAGAGCTCGGCTCTCGGGCAGCGGCGAGAGGCACAGGAAATGACCTCAGCAGGTTCCAGCTTCCCACCTCACCGCACCGCTGGGCTAGTCCCTGGGGTGGCCGGGGCCCCGTGGACTTTGCGGGTGTCCCGGGCTCCGGCCCGGAGCTCTCTGCGGAGGCCGCACCAGCCGCCACAGGGGACGGCGAGGTGCCCTCACATCGGCTCTGCTCCCGACGAGCGGGGGACCCTCTCAGTCGGGGCACAAGACCAGACCCCTACCCCTTACCCTTTACCCCTTACCCCTACCACCAAAAGAATTCCAGCATTTGTCTGGTGACCTGTACAAACTTTAACACCCGGATATTTGAACCAGAAGTTCTTATTTTAAACAACCTGTCCCACTGGGGTACAGATTGATTTGTAATTTGGATGGGAAAAAAAAGTCACCGCAGCCCAGAGCGTAGCTTGCTTGCTTATGTATTTACGTACATGCGTGCGTATATATAAACGCATTACTTATTTAAAGGAGAGGGCCAAGAAGGCGGAAGGACAGGACACTGCCCTGCTGGGCAGTTCGCAGGGCTGTCTTCAGTGCACGCTAGTTCTTCAACGGCTTACAGTTCTCAGCTCACTGTTGTCACCCTACACGCACATCGCTCAACTTTTGGTTGGGTGCATATGGGGTAAAAGCTTTCATCCCCAAAGGAATGAACAAGTAAACACCACCAGGGCTGGCTTCTCCGAAGGGGCTTTAGAAGACTCGGTCCAGGTGGCAGGGAAGGATCCTCTGGCTTCAGCCCGGGTCTGAATCCGAATCTCTGGAGGTAAGGCTAGGAAATTGGCCAGCTAGCAAGCTCCCCAGGTGATTCTCCTTGCACAGCATGGAAAGCCCAGACACTATGCAATGATGGTCCCAGCGGTTCAGGAAGCCAAGGTGGAAAGTTAAACTGGGCCATTTGGACTCCTGGGGCTGAACTGCAAATAGATTCAAATAGATTCATAGCTCCTGGGAATTGGGGTAGGTCAGCCCACTCTGTGGGACACTGGCCTCTGCTGTCCCCTTCAACACTCTGGAAATTGCCTAAGGAAGCCCAAGAGCAAGTCCTCCGCAATTTGTAAGGGAGGTTCATTCATTTATACATTCATTCACTTTGAATTGATAACCACACACAGAGTATACACTTCAAATATTACCAGACTAACCACGAAAAGTGAGTCTTCCTCCCACCCTCTGCCTTGCCCCCCAGATCACTCCTCCCCCCAAACAACTACTGCTGTGAGTTTTTGTGCCTATCCTTTCTAGGTACTTTATGCATACGTAAGCATCCATGCCTTCATACATGCATATGTATGCATATCCCCCTTTCAACACTAAGGAAGTATGCCTTGCTTTTTTCCCTTGACTTTGCCATTTGTTGAGTCTAAGTGTGACAGAGATGACATATGACACTTACAGATGCCTTATTTTTAATGGCTTCCTAGTATTTTTAATGATGGATATTCAGGATATTTTCAATCTCTGGCTATTATATACCTTTGCTACAGTGACTGTCTTTGTACATACATTTTGGTCCACATGTATGACTTTAAGGTTTAATACACAGAAGTGGGACTACTGGCTCTAAAAACAAGGGGAATTTTAAATTCCAGTAGATGCTGCTGAGCTGCCCTTCAGAGGAACCTGTACTGACCTACACTTCTATCAGCATGTGTGAGTGCCCTTTCATTCCCTCTCACCTGCACCGATGACTGATTTGTCACAAAGTGCACAGTGTTCAGAAAGGGGAGGAGCAAATGAGTCAATGTACACGGGCAACTTTAGAACACGGCTAGCACGTGGACCGGCTCCAGGGAATGTCGGCCATTCGCCTCCCAGCCGCGTTCCTGTCTGAGTGCTCCCCGCTCTGCGGTTAGTTTAAATCCCGGCTCTGTGAACTTGGGCAGGTTCCTTGGCCTCTCTGGGACCCAGTTTTCTTATCTTTAATATGAGAATCATAAGATCTGTTTCTGGAGTTGGTCTGAGGATTAAATCAGGTAAAAGAGTTCCATAAATTTTGGTATCCAATTATTATTTGATAAGCAATAGCTATTCTTTTTCCTTCAAACGTTCCTCCCAACTTTTATATTTGGAAAATTTTAAACCTACAGAAGTTCCAAAAAACAGTACATTAAATTATTATTAACACATTTCCACATTTTCTTTCCTCCCGCCCCTCTCTCCCATTTGAGAGTTACTTGTACACAACTTTTTCATCCTTTATTTTTTACACAACTTCTTGAGCTTTTATTCCTGAATATTTTAGCATGTACTTTCCTAAGAACAAGGATGTTCTCTAAGTATCACTCTTAGGAAATTTAACACGGATACAATACTATCATCTACAATGTAGGACATATTCTAATTTCCTCGGTTGTCCCAATAATGTCCTTTATAGCTGAGTTTCATAGCTCTTTTATTTACCATTATTAGTCCCTACCTAGTACTCACAGAGTGAATGATGGTTAGAGGAGAGTGGGCACATTCCCTCCTCCAGTCCAGGAAGACACTGACCCCGCAGCCCCGACCCTGGCATGCTTCAGGGGCTGCAGGCAATCAGTAACCAGGCACAAGGCATGCTCACAGGCAGAGCAGGCTTTCCCATCTAGTACTAGGGACTGTCCTTTGCTGACGTTGCCTCCTCTGCTTGACCCCAGGCACCCCACGCTGGCAGCCCAACAACTCTGCCCCGCCTCCCCACAACTCTGGTTGGGTTCCTGGTGTCCCCTCTACCTCCCCCACTGGTACCCAATCAGCAGAAGCTGCTGTTCTGGCTCCAGTGAGACCTGGCTCCAATGAGACCTGGCTCCTATATCACTCTGAACCACAGTTCCCACACTGTGGTACCCTACCTCAGGGATGGGTCCCTATGGACCTCCAGACTGGCGTACCCCAACTTGCTCCTGAGATTATGGGTTGGGATGACTGAGTCACTGTCTTTTACCCATGTCTTCTGGCACTTTCCACGTAGCCCTCTGTGGACCTGAGACTGAGCATCTAACTGTGGCCACTGGCCATATCCAGACAGTGACATCAGCTGACACTGACATCTCTCCCTTCCTCTCACTCATTTGTTCATTCATTTATGGTAGCTGACTTCTAAGTTGTCCAGGCATGCTGGTAGATGCCCAACTGTAAGCCTGGTGAACCATCTCCTTGCTTCCTGCCTTCCTTTGTCCTGTTGTAAAGTGGAGAAATTATTTCCTCATCTCAGCTACCCTTCCATTCAGAGCATTTGAAATTTGGAGACAAGGCAGGGTTATGAGGGAGTCACCACAGTAGAGGGGGACTTTGTAAAACTGAAGCGAGGAAAATGCCATCTCAGGCACCATCTTTGGCTGGCGCTGTAGTGGGTGGGAGCTTGGGGTCTGGGGGCCTGGGAAAGGCTCTGACTCCGAGGCTCCTTCAAGGATCCATGGAGAAATGGTACCCACCACACCTAACAGCTCATTTCTGTTTGGCCTGGGAGCCGAGAGAGAGGGAGAAAGCCACCATGTGCCCCAAGTCTAAGGGTCATTTCAGTCACTGAAACCGAGGGCCTCCTTTTCTCTTCTGAGAGGAAGGTGAGGCCCGAACGACGGCCACTTGTGGACAGTCTGGACCAGTTTGGCCCATCGGCAATTTTCAGATTCTCATATTTGCGGCCGCTGAGATGAGAAGTGCGTGGAGGCCGTTTGTTCCCTCTTCCATAACCTCCTACAGGTGAGGTACTCAAAAGGGCCAGGGCCATAGCCTTCGCCAAACATACGAGCGTTCGTCAGCGAGCAGGCACGAGAAGTCCCACAACTCGCTCCGAGGGAGTCAGGGAGCTGGCCCGTCCAGATTTTGCACGTCGTTCATGCGAGGGCCCAAATCATCTTTCTAGGTCCATGTTTTGAAAATCACTTATTTCACCTGTGAGAGATTGCTTCTAGCATCTCTCGAGCACGTTCGGCCCGCTGGTGTAGACTTGGATGGCCGTTGAAGTGTTTATGTAACCACCCTCCAGAGTGCGGATTCCTGATTAGAGTGCTTCAGAGGCTAACTAACCCCTCCGGGGGCAGAGGGGAGTCCGAATGAAGCACCCATTCTCCTGCCTTCCCGGCCTGGTTCTGTTGCAGTTGGAAGGACAGTAAAGGGCAAGAAGGAAAGGAAAGAGAAGGGAGAGGGGCTTCAGAGGTCCAGGAGCCCTGGGCCGTCCTGGCTCAGCCTCCGGCCTCAGGAGCTGGGAGCAGAGCTTGGTAGCTCTTGGGTTACAGAGAAGTCAGGAGGCTGGTTCCACTGCTGATTCTCTGGGAGCAGCCAGGTCAGTCATGGGCTGGGTCAAAGAGGCTCAAGGTCACCACCCACGTGGGACTGGAAGGGCAGCGATCAGCTGTTCAGGGAAGTGTAGGGTACAGGGTAGGAAGAACATGTGGTGGTCCAGAGGCAGAGTTCTGTGTGCGTGAGTGTCTGTGTGTGTCAGGTAGTGGGGCAGGGGGTCCTAACTTTGAGCACAGACTCTCTTTTCATTTACTCATTCAGTTACTCCTGAGCAAATATTTGCCATTTTCCAGACACTGTGTAAGGAAACAGTGTGGCGACTGTGACCCATAAACTCAGGGCATGGACTTCAGAACAAGATATGATGGTGGTTGAATCCTGCCTCTTCCCAGAAAGGATCGCAGGTAAGAACTGACGCAATGACCTCTTGTATCACTGGGGACGATCTGTTCAGTGCGCTGCGGGCCCTGGAGGCAGAGGGCCAGGTGCATGATGTGGGGGAGGGAGGGGTTCTTCCTGTGTAAAGCAGCAACTAGAATTCTTTTCTTACAGGGTGATTGTAAAGGAGGAGATAAAGGGTCTGCCCCAGTGCCCAGTAAGAGTTAGTGAACAAAAG